ACATACCACACTGTGAGTGTTATGGCCACCACTGTGGTAGGTCCCATGCAGACATGAAAGTGTGTTTTCTCCCCTGGATGATCAGCACCAGTAGCAAAAGAGGCAGCTCTACAGGGAGACAGGAGATGAGAGCAGTCTGGTGCATGATTAATTTATAATCCTTAAAAGTCTGAAATGCTCCCAAAGATATTAGTATTCCCCAGGTAAGAAAGCTGTCCAGATTTTCAACATATCCCTGTCTTATTTTCATGTCTACTGGAATTAATAGCTGAAGGATTGTAAAGCCCAAAATTCAAACATGTGACTGCATTTAATCATTAATACAGAACCTAAGATCATAGTTTGGGAGTCTAAGTGTTGTTGTCAGAAGCAGAGACAGCCCAAATTCTCATTTATATACTAAGACACTCTTAAAATATCCTGAAAGCAAAAATGCACCTCAGAGTGGGTGCAGAGCCAGCACTGACAGCCTCTTTATGCTGAGAAAATATTGATATGAAGGACCCTTCAGAGAAGTGAAGACAAGTGAAAAGAAAAATCCCATTCTTTACATTGAATGCCAGTAGAGGTGACACAGCCCAAAACCTTGAAAGAGTAAATTAGACTCCAGATGGTTCACTCTGTCTCTCTCTGACTGTATGTGTTTGGAGACCTGTGCAAAAGGAAGTTGTGCATACACTGGAAGGAGGTTGAAGAATCCATCCAAGTGTTTTAAAAGCAGGCATAAGCCCACATTTGTTTTTTCATGTTCTTTAGTAGTCCAGTCGTTGCACCCAGAAATGACTCCATTTCTCCGCTGAAAGAGTTGCTATGTTTAAGTTGGTGAGGGATCCTTCGGGATGAATAAGCACCACTTCCTGCTTCCCATATTTAATTTTTCACCGGGGAAGGTCTGCTGCCAATTTTACCCAAATAAATGCTGAGGTAATAAAGAGCAATGTCGTGGCTGAGCCTAACACTGCTCCTGGTGCCCAGCTCATCCCACCACAGTGTCCTCAGTCAGGGCACGTGTTACAGGGCACTGAAACAGGAAAGTGCTTGCTAGAGACTGCAGTAGGTACTACATGGCCAGCTCTTTGTCTTCTAACTCTGAAGAAAATGTGCTGAATAGGCTGATAGAGCCTTTGCATAATATGGTGGAACTCAGAACAGAAACCACACATGCAGTTTTTTAGGTTTGTTAGATGATAGCCTTGGTCTACAGCAGCACATTTTGCTGATACTATTTCAAATCGCCTCCCCCCCCAGATGTGCAGAATTCAGAAGAGAAAAAAAAAGGAGCTGGAGACTCAGAATATTGTTACTATAAAACTACATTCTTGGAGCCACACTTGTTTTAAAAATCAGGCAAGTAAAGTAATGCCTGGCTTCAGCTATGTTGTTTGGTAACTTATTTATAGCTACTTGTTTCAAGATGCACAGGCTAGTAGTCATGGAGGTCTGTACACTTACACTTCCACTTTTTTGCTCTCTTTAATTGTCAGTAATTGTGGGGTTTTTGTTGAGTTGTTTTTTGGTTGTGGGTTTGTTGTTTTGGTTTTTTTTAAATAAATTTGCCTGAGGCAAGCGGTAAATGTAGAGCTTTAAGGACTGTTATACCTTCTTATTAGGGGATTTATCTTCCAGGTAAAAGAACCACAAGTCTTTCCTGGTGCGCATTCAAGTCAGTTGGCATGGGATCTAAAAGAGTGCCATAACTCCAGGGTGTCAGAAAGCATCAAGGGATCAGCAGAGAGAGAGCTTTGTTTTAAATGTGCAATACACTGTTTCCAGTTCAAAGAAGGAACTAGGAGACCTGCTCCAAAATGATAGCATTTAATAGGCTACTAAATTGCTAGATAGCTTATCAGATAATGTAACGTCAAACTGGAGAGAATGGCCCAGCGGTTGCTTTATATTAATATTAATAATTGTTGTTTTAAAAAATATTTATTATTTAATTGATTTCAAATCTACTGGTCTATAGTACATTCAGTGTCTTTCCACTAAATTTACACATTCTGTTGCCCTCCCAGTGAAGAGAAGAGTGAAGCAGGCAGGGTTCCTCTGGGGGGGATCCCAAATGTGCTTGTTAGCAAGATGCTGTCATATTTAACTTCCTATAACTTTTCAGTGGTATTTGCAAGGACTTTGGGGGTTCAAAAAACATGATTATTATATTTCATCATCTAGAAACATTATGACTTGTGACTGAATATTTTGCTTAATAATTAACAGACGTCTAATAAGTGATGGAAAAAAGATGTCAGCAGCAGCGGGGTTGGTGCATACTTGAGTCGAAGGTGTCCCCCGTGGCATCTCCCCGTGGCTGGACACTCTGAAGGGTGTCTGTGGCCAGGCAGGACATGTCTGTGGGTGGAATCGGGGGACTTGAAGGGAGTGAGAAGCAGCTACACCCACGTGGATGGGCTGAGGGGGTTCCACACAGCTCAGTAGCCGTATGCTCCACAATTCACCTTCTAAAGTGAAGAAGAGTTTTTATTTCTGTACCTTCTAAAGTATTGCTAGGAATGGCCGTGGAAGTTGGCTGGCCTGAGCTCTTAAATGTGTTGAACTGGGCATGCCAAGGGCACATCAGCACAGGCTGTAAACAAATGTCTGCTGCTTGTAAGGACTATGGTGTGTAACACACATACGCCATAGAAATCCTGTATCTAAGTATGTATTTACCAAATCCACTTCCCACAACACAAATATGTCTTTATACATGCAGAGATGAAAACAAAAAAACCTGAACTAATGCCATTGATAAAAAGATGCATTTCATATATAAATATACACTTGAAAATGGTAGCTGGGATACCTGTATATTCACTGTGAGTAAAAAAATGAACATCATGCCCCAGACACTCTTGTGAAATAAATTTTGTCTTCAGTTTCTGTTTAATAGCCCAAGATCTTTCTGCCAGATGTACGAATGTCTTTGGGAGGAAAGACACGGGAAGGAAAATGAAGATGTGATCAACCTAGGAAATGGTTCTTGGGAAACCTTCCAGCATCATGAGCAAGTGAACACAGGAGTGCATTAGCACGGTACATTGTGTGATGAATGCTCCAGCAGCTGGTTCATGGGACAGAAACAGACATTTGTGGGACAAGAGAAAGCAAATGTATGTAACAGACACAACTTTAAAAGTTTTTAGCAGAGGCTTGTGAAATTAAACCAAAGAGCGTATGGAGACCACAGTCATAGCTAATTGGCAGTGACAAGTTTTGCTTTGCACTGTTTGGACTGCAAATGACATCTTGAAAAATTAAACTTAGGTCAGCACGCCCAGAATAACTGTTTTTCAGCTGTTCTAATAATCCCTTTCAAAAACATCACTGCATGCTGTATTATGTGCCTCTATCTCTAATTTTCAACTAGAAGCAAACAGACAAAAGGATTGATTAAATGTGTGAACCATATTAAACTCAAGATGCTGAATACACCAAAAAGTGCAAAGGAATTGTACAAACAGAAGTGGAGTGGCAAGAAAAATTAATTTGGAATAGCAATGAGATTTCAACACAAACAAAGAAAAGCTATTATATCAAAGATGAAATGTAGTGTTGTGACTTGTATTGACAAAAACTCATAAAGATGAAGGCTTGGGAATAATAGGCTGAAAGGTAATATCAGTGCTATGCAAACAGAGGCATCATACCCAGATGTGACAACTTATACTGTTCTTTACATAGCACTAGCGAGAATGCCTCTAACATTAACTGCAAATTACAGGCACTCTGATGTCTGAAAGAAGGGGAGCAATGCTTTTGGAAAGTGAATTGGATGCATGATCGAAGAAGAATTGCTTGGACAGGGACACCTTCCACTAGAATAGGTTGCTCAAAGCCCCATCCAATCTGACCTTGAATACTGCAGGGATGGGACACCCACAGCTTCTCTGGGCAACCCGTTCCAGTTTCTCATCACCCTCAGAGTAAAGAATTTCTTCCTAGCGTGAGACTAAATCTACCCTTATTCAATTGGAAGCCATTCCTCCTTGTTCCATCACTACATTCCCTTGTCAGAAGTCTCTTTCCAGCTCTCTTGTAGCCCTCTTTAGGTCCTTGAAGGTCCTATAACCTCTCCCTGGAGCCTTCTCATCTCCAGACTGAACAACTCTCTCATCCTGTCTTCACAGGAGAGGTGCTTTAGCCCTCTGATCATTGTTATGGCCCTCCTTTGGACTTGTTCTAACAGGTCCACATCTTTTTTATGTTTGGTACCCCAGAGCTGGATGCAGTACTCCAGATGGGATTTGACCAGAGCAAAGCAGAGGGGCAGAAACAATCCTCCCCAGTCCTGCTGGCCACACTGCTTTTGATACAGCCCAGGACACGGTTGGCTTTCTGGGTTGAGAGAGCATGCTGCTGGCTTATGTCAATCTTCTTGTCCACCAACATCTCCAAGTCATTCTTGTGAGGGCTGCTCTCGATCTGGTCATTCTCCAGCCTGTATTTGTGCTTGAGACTACCCCAGCCTAAGTGTAGGACCTTGCAATTGGTCTTGTTGAACTTGAGGATCACATGGGCCCACCTCTGAAACCCTCTGGTGTGTTGACTACACCACAAAACTTGGTCATGCTTGGAAGGGCTTTGTGGCTACTGCAAGGATAGTCCACTGGGATCAGACCTAAGACAGGTAGACTAATGAATTCCAGCCACTGTTTGTAATGAAGATTATTCGACACAAAAGGAGAGAAAAATCAGGGGAAAGAAAGATCCATTTTCTCTTTTACTGGGAGTTCTGAGGATAAAAAGAACCTGAAAAGGAGGCATTTGTTGTTGCATGAAGGGTCTGGGCTGGAAACAATGGCTGTATGGCATACTGCACACCTGAGACCTGATACAAAAACACCAGAGCCAGGCTGCTCTTTTCACCACTTCCAAGAAACCCTGATGCCATCAGGACTGTGCTGCCCTGATTCAGATACCGGTCAGACCCTGAGGTAATCCTGCTTGCCCCAACATTGGTCCAGAAAACCCAATTTTCAAGACAAACTGGTGCTCCTCACCTTACCACCTTAGTGCCATTCCTCATGACCTGCATGTCCACCATGCAGCCACCCATGACGTAAGCAGCCAGGTTCAACTCGGAGAACTCAGCCTGGAGTGGAGCAAAAGGATAAAGTGTTACTCAAGGGTAGCAGAGACACAAACACATGGACACAGATGCAGAATTGTCTTCAGCTGTAATGTGCTTTTCCTTCTTTTCCTTATTTTTTTTTTCTGTGAGGCAACTGGAGGTCCAATTACAGCTGGTTTGCCCTGGAGAGACTGCAGAAATCTTTACGGCTCCCAGACTTGGGGTGTAAAAGTACACAGGATTAGGCTTATTGCAGTAATAGGTACTGAAGGAATTAAGAATGAGCAAGCTGAAAAATGCACACAGGAAAGAATAATAATAATAAAAAGAGGTAAGGTCATTTGAATTCAAATTCCAAGTTTCCACTTGGAAACATCCATTTAGAATTATGTCTGAGTCGGCTGTCGTGCCACTGGCCAACTACAAGCCTAATACAAAAGATTTAAACCTTTTAGCTAAACAGCTAGAAAACCTCATTATGCTGCAGGAAGGTGATAAGCAGCAAAGGCCACCTGATGTGATTTACTGATTAAGATTTTAACTATTAAAGGATTAGCAAAGCTGGGTAGGCTATGAACAGTGCTGCTCAATTATTAAAACACTTTATATTTTAAAAGAGGTGGGACTTACAAGGCCAGAAAGGTTGGCAAGGAATACTTCAGCTACTGGGAGAAAAAGGGGTGATTATGACTGCAGTGGATGTCAGTGAAGGTTAAGAGATAGATCAGACTAGCTGGGTGAGAGGTGTGATAATCCTCCTGCGTGGCTTGCTGCCCCTCAGACAGGAGCGCCAACAGACCACTGGCTGTAGGAGGATGGCAGGATTAGCTGATAAGCATTTGTCTTGATCTCCAAATCCTAACTGTTCTTTATAAGCAAAAGAGTAAACCTTGAACTAGAATATCCTATTATTGGGCCTTGCAAGTCTTCCCTTTCCAGCATGGTGCAAATACACCCATAAAGACTCAAAGTCTTATATTAAATTAGTGCCTGTGATATAAATATAAATATAAATATAAATATAAATATAAATATAAATATAAATATAAATATAAATAAAAAGGTTTCATTTTTTGATGCAGAAAATTTAGTCTTCTCCCTTTGAAGAGTTTTTTCCCCCTTCCTTTTAAAGCATCTCTTTCAGACTAAATTATGGTCAAGATTAGGCAGCAGTAAAATCATCTTCTAACTAGTAGCTGTGTAATACCAGAGCACTCAGATGGTGTTGCTAATACTTGTGATTTTATTGAGATCCTTGTACTATTTAATGTTCTTCTGCTACTTCTATTAGCTGGAACCAAAAGATAGTACCAAGAACAACTTTTATACATAATAAAAAAAAAAAAAAAAGAAAGAAAAGAAAAAAAAAAAGAAAAAAGTGTGTTTTGTTCTCATGAACTCATGGAAAAAACTTGCCAATGGAGAACTAGTGCACCTGTAAAGGCTCAGAGGCCAGACGACAAATGAAAAAATAATTTCCAACTTTCTTTTTTTTAAATCCACATAATTTTAAAGCAATGACTGTGGGCTGGTGACCCAATGATGTAATGAGATTTCATGTCTGTGGACTTGTGTAAACTTTTTAAAGCAACAGCCTTACATGATCTTACATCACTGTAACTCCCAGTTACAATGAAAAAAAGGAGGAAAATTCCTGTTGCCAAGAAATAAATTCTACTTCAAACACATACACACACACACAGACACACTCACAAGGAGGGATTGGCAATGACAGAGGTGACTGCCCGGGTTTTACTTACGAGATTACAGTGTGTTGCCTCGGCCACAGCCACACTTCCTCAGGCATCAAATCAGACCAGAGATAAGAAAATATGTACCTCTAAAAGGCACCTGCATTTAATATATATATAAAATCTCAGTAGATGTAGGGAGGGAGGAGTTCACCTTGGACAAATTCAGTAAAATCAGTGATCTCCCCAGTGGGTCAAGGCAAGCTTGCTAGCTTACATATAAGCTCAAGAGGTTCTATGGGCTGGGGAGATGAAAGGTTTTCCCAGCTCTGTGTCTGCATATGTCTCAGAGATGTCCCACTCTGCAAGCAGAGTGTTACCAAGCTGAACCTTCAGCTTCTGTTGCTGAAGAATGCATCATCTGATGTGAACACCAGAACAAGAAAAGGAAGTTTTAGGTCTGTGTTTTCATGTTCTTTGTGCTTTTCCTCCATAATTTTTTTCATAATGACCTGTAGTAAAAAGCTTCAGATTTTTTTTGCTGGGGGTGAAAATGGACAACCTTCATTTGATGACTGGTACTTACAATCTAAGTTGGTCTGACAGGCATTCCCTTGAGCAGGCAAGCCAGACAAAGCCGTGCTTAGACACCTGATATCCAAACAGGCCTGGGAATCTCCTGAGCTGGTGAGTACTTCATACCAAACTGCCAGGACCAATTTCAGGCCTGCTAATGTCAAGAGCCAGAAGAAAAGGAAAAATTCCCTTTGGCAACCATTGTCCAGGGAACCCCGACAAGAAGGGAGGATTGGAGAGAGGGTCTGAGGGACTCAGCTATCTTGCCCCCATAATGTCCAGATCTACAATCAGAGCTGAGGAACAATCCAGGCCTTTTCCTGGTATTCAATCCCGTTTTAATAGACTAAGTGAAGGAGCACTGCTGCTTTCATGTAGCTTCTTTGTCCCATCCAAAAGGCTACAGCTAGCTGGTGTTTGGAAGAAGGCTGAAAACTTCAGTCAGCAGAAATTGTTTCCTGTTGATTTTCCAGTGCTCCCTGTATTTTTAACTTTGTGGGTTTTGTAGCCTGATGACTTCCCTTGGCTGGGATTTTGACTCTGAGATCATCTCCAGCCTGAGTTTACCTTGCAGACAAAGGGGTCTTTGAAAGCAGCCCATGCAGATAGAGTGACAGGTAACTATGCATAAAACAGGAGATTCCAGCTCCCTGTGGCCTTGCAGAGTCATTTGCATTAGGAATCATCAAACAGAAGAAGGCATTACATTAGCCTGATGGTGTTTTATACTGGCTTTGCAATGGTGTCAGTGGCTGCAAAAACATTCAGGGCAAGAACAAACCATGTGTGATAAACGTGACACAGTCTGCCTTGAAAAATAACGTAATACATACTGTGGGAGTAGAAATATTTCATACCTCTATGAGGCCCAGATTTGAGACAATGCCCACAGGTATTTTGAGGATAGTTCTGTTAAAGATGCCTACTTCAGAAAACACTCCAGATCACTTGGACTAAACCTTAAGCTACTGTCAGTTTCCATCAGTGTTTTCTAGGTGCTGGAGATCTTTTTAAATTTCTGTTTGCTGATATTACAACAAGGAAGATTTTGTCATTTTAAATCATGCAATAGTAGAAATGCCTGGCTTGGAAGCTATATCTGTTAATGGTTCAAGGGAAGTATGTTTTCAAGGTGAATTTTAAGCATTTTTCATAAAATAGTTGTGTTGGAAGGACTTCAAGGTATTACATAGTCCATCTCTCTTTCCTAAGGCAGGATCAGCTCTGCCTCTGACATTGTGTGCAGATATACATAACCCACAGATGAGGAACTTCCTCAGGCAATTTGTGCCTTAACAACCCTGGAAAGTTTTCCCAATGACCAACCTAAATCTCTTGCCTTACTTTTTAGGACTGCAATTTTTTTTTGAGGTACCATTACTTCTTCCTGCAGGAAACTAAAGACTTACCTCTTGAAGACTTGCCCTTCATTTTTCCCTTTTCTCCCTAGAGAAAAGCAGTCCCCATTCTTATAAGATTTTCTTGTAGGCGATGCTTTTCAGCACAGTGGTCAGTGTTGTTGCTGTCACTGGCATTCTCTCTGACAGGTCTGCAAACTCCTTGAGTTGTAATGGTTTAGACTCACCATCCTTCAGCACAGACCTGACCACTGTTGAGTAAGATGTAAGGCCAACCATATGTTTGAGTATGGATTTGTCATATGTGCAGCAATGTGACTATTTTTTAACTCATATCCTGGCTGAGATCTGCTGTAATCCTTGCACTGCTTTGTCTAGGCTACTGACTAGCCTGGTCCATGTTGTGGCTTAGGCATTTGGAATGAGGAATTACTACTGTATAGTCAAATCACATACTTTTCTCAATGGACTTTATACTTTATTTTGTGGTGGATCTTCCAATCTGTACAAGGGAAGGAAGACTTCGGCAGACATAAGACTGCGTTCCTGAAACACTATAACCATTGCAAGCACTTCAAGGGGAAAATCAGCAATCCCTAAATCCTGCACAGGGAGAAGGGGTGGACAGATAGTATGGATCTCAATGGGATGAGGGATGGGGCTATGCATGCTTGGTGTGCATACGCATGCAGAATTAGACATTACACAGCCTGATTCCCTGTGTCTCTTTCCTGAGACATTCTCCCTTGGGGAGGCACTCTCGCCCCCAGCTGCTCTCAGTACTGGGATTGATCTCTGGAAGAAAAGGATAGAGAGGGTCCAGCTGGGTTATGAATGCTGCTGTGTGGCTCCAAGAGGATCTTCCACAACTGCTCTTGACAAGTCCTGAAGCTAGGATGCATGCTCCTAGGCTACAGACACTGCTGATGCTGAAGATCCACGTGCCTTCGTCTGTGTGAGAAATTTTGGTGCATCAACTCAGATGGCATTCAGAATTGTCTTGAGTTTTCACTGCAGAACTTATGTGGCTGCCTGAAAATCTGAGGTCTAGAAAAGCACATTTCTAAACCTTTTGATCCCAGGAAATGGCTCAAAACCATGAACTCTGTAAACCTCCAAAAGCCAATGAAAATTAAAAAAAAAATATTTGGAGATACTATTTATTTAAGAAATCCATTATTTTTGAGTCATTCTTGTTAGTTGTCCAGGTCTCTTTATTCATGGTTTCTGAATGCTTGTATGTGGCGAAGCTATGAGAACTGCTGTTGCTGTTCTTGAACAGTTTGCTGGCATTCAGTTGGAAAAAACCCCAAACCTAAACATATAATGAAGAGAAATTATACAGTTGTTTGACAAGAGGGAAATTTTCCTTTCATCACACATGAACCTATCAGAC